AGCACCGAAAGCTTGTGCGACGGCCGGCACCGCAAGAAATGCAGAGCGATTACGTCATAACCACTTCGGTCACGCCGCATTTGCCGTTGTTAGTCGCCAAGGGTGCTATCACTTGGAAGGTGAGAAAGGTGCCTGTCGGAAGAAGGTATGAGAGCTTGGTTGTCGTATCAACGGTCGACATCGTGGCTACCTTCACAACTTCCAACTCGTATTCTGCTCGACAAGGGATGCACTCAAATGCTCAATGATACGAGGTAGTTGTGAAAATCTTATTAAAACTTGAAGTTCTAAGAGAGTACACCACTTGTTCACTCTTTCCTATTCCTGCGAAGCGATCAGGTCCTTACTGAATGGTGCTCATCTACTCGCAAACTTACGGATGCGATTAACTCCCTCTCCTCTCTTCGTACTCGACTTGATAACACTGGGCCTTTCACTTTCTTCAGGCGCTAAGCTTATATCTCAGCAACACCTATCGAAGCTGTATTGTGGGATGATATTAAGGTGGTCCACAAGCGCTATGCCTCATGGTTGAGTCAAATCTACGCTTTCTTGCACTATTTCGAGGTTCGAGCGTGTAGGCGTCGTTCCGATACTTCAGTCCTAAGTTCGGGAATGACGCGGCACCTGCGTATGTAGCGCCTCCATCCTAGACCCCTGCCCAGAAAGGTTGACCTCGATTCACTAGCATATTCCTCTTTGAGATACAATGCTCGTGAGATCCAAGATTTTGCAGTCAGTAGCTATGATTGCAAATTCACTCTACCCCAAGGTCTGCAGGCGCCACCTCCTTATACCTCGACAGTGTCGTCATCTACCTGAAGTCTAAACTTCAGTCTATCTCGCGGAGTATCGAATCGCAAGGCAGATCGATGCATGCCTTACCGTGCATCCCAAGAAACTCATTGGATGTCGGTACACCTACCGAAGATTCATGACATGTGTGCTGGCAACAACAGTTCCCAGACATGTGATCCAACTCTAGCAATATGCCAGAGTGAAGGGCGATTTCACGGCAGCATTGGCTTGCGGTGGATGAACTCATCCTCTGGACTTATATTCAGGGGGGAGGTTGCTCGTTAATTAATAGTGAAAAATAGACTAAAAAAAAGATCACCACTTGAAGCAAAAGTTTATGAACTTTGTGAAAAAGTCTGCCATTATTGTCTGAACGAGATCTCATTATCTGTTGCAACGTTGCAATACATAGGTTTTGATGTTTTAGGTCAAACCTATAACATCAAATTGCACAGATTTTGATTTATTGTAAGTTATGAGTTGGAATAACTTCCCACCATTTTGAATGGGGTCTTCTCACCCTCCTGTAGACGTTACTTGTAGACCTGGCTTATTTTTAAGGACATGAATCTGAGGGAATCCAAGCTTTGAAGCACTCGGAAGCCTACTTACAACCGGAAAATCGTAGATTTTATGACCAGTGTTTAGCTATGTGGTTTCGTTTTCATAAACATTACCAGACCTTCAGACAGCTGGCTTTGAGAAAATACGGTTTGCGATAGAAGTGGGCTGCAAGCTGTGTCATAGATGTACATGAATCATCAACGCCTCTGAAATGGATCATCGTCAAATCTACGTTTTCTCAGTCAGTGACTTCGTCCATCTTTCACAAGAAAAAGTACCTGGACCTTTGACGGGTATCATTAGTCACACTTTCCAAACACAGCTTGCAGCCCCACTCCGAACATGACAAATACTTTTTCACGACGAGTACACAAACTTGGAGACTAAGCTGACTGCACCAAAAAATAACGTCAAACCAATACTGAACTGGTAATGAAAAAGATCAGCAAACCATGTGCACCGGTCTCAGCTGAGGGTTCCCGTAGTACTACTGAGCAGGTTTGAGGCAGCCAGAATCTTTGAATTCTCCGATGAATTCCCTTGGGTTTATTACTGGCGTTCAAGCCGGTAGAATCCTGCAAACGCAATTCAGAGGTTCAATAAATTCTATGGCGATAATAGAGAGCATTTACTTTACAGAAAATTTGAGTAATTAAATAAAGCCATTACCTCCAAGCTGCCATTCACCAGTTTTTAACTCTCATTAAATGCACATGATAAATTGTTCACAAAATAAGCACAAGCCACGAAGCAACCATACTAAACTTAGCAACATACGAGGGCTTTCTTTGGCCACACTCAACTGAAATGTTTTGTACTTATCAGGAAATTACGACGACGATCAAATTTGCAGGTGGGACTTAAAGTTGGCGTCGGGATCGTCTGTACAGTGAAAGTCAAGATGGCTGGGTACCCGAGCAGCCGGATTCCACGTTGAAGAAATTTTTACTCCAATTGTGCAGCAGTGTGCTTCTACAGTTCTAATGCTGCGCACCAGAGACCCTGAGGAGTCTGTTTAATCACAGCACGTGCTTTTGCGAATCAAGTAACTGCAACTACTGTTACAAATGTCAAAATGATTAACAACATTATAAACAACACTGATTCGATTAAAAAGTGTTGCTCCAAATATGTCCTGCATCTGACAGATCCAACTAATGTGGCCTTGTCTACATAGAATCTAACTGTAAAATCTCTTCTACGTGAGTGTCGAACCATTCAACCTCCATGACTTTGGAAGTGCTTGCAGCAGGACTCTGCATCAAACTGTTCCCACTCTATCACTGCATCAAACCCAAGCAGATTCGAGATCAACTAATACGTTTGCCACAGGTCGCCAAGAGAAGTGACACAAAAAGCACGAACACAGCAAAGCAAAAAAATATACAAAAGACTCCATTCTTAAACAATCATCATACCTTTGCCCTGCAATGCAACGTAGCTTAGAATGTAAACAGAGGTAAGATTGAGACCGAGCGTTATGGTTTCTAGGGTTCTCGAACTACCATCAAAGGGCTGGAGCCAAGCAGGGTTTGGCGGAACCCAAGCTCAAAGCTCAAAGCTTTAGACATCGCCGAGCGTGCAAGAAACAGTAGCAAAAACGCGATGGCAATGCAACCCACAAACGGAGATGATAGACAGAGCTCCAGGCGTCCTGCTGCATCAAGTTCTGCTCCGATACCCTAATAACCATGACGCAAAAGCCTGCGAGAAAACAGGATCAGAACCTCGACACTCATTGCCGACTCTGCATGAGCTGCAAGACCCGATGCACTTGAAAAACACTAAACCTCGATGCCGATGACTTGTTTTGGATAGTTTAAAGTGACACTTTTCACATAATTTTTTTAATGTTGTGTCACCTTGTATTTTGTAATTTTACATAAAAAAGTTGCCAAAACTTAATGAATGAAATTTCTTAAATGGGTTTTAAAATCTTTATAAATGTCACAAGAACTATATTTGTCTTTTAATAATTGTTGTTTTTTATTTGTTTTTTTCTATTTTTAATTTTAAACCATGAAAACTATTATTCAAATTTCTATTAATAAAAATCTATTACAAAAATTAAAAAAACTTAGCTTACAATATACATAGGTATTAAACTTAAGTCCACTAAATTAACTAAATGGGTGTGGGTTTTTAGCATGATATCTATAATTTTGTCAAATTTTATCCAGGTTTATACCACAATTAGAATTCATCCATTGTTTTTCAGATGTATCTAGAGAATGGATGTTTTACAGGTGAATAATCCATATCAAATTTTTACTTTAAAGGTATTGTTTTATTTAAGGTAATCTTAAAATTACAATTGATTAAATTCAAAGTAGTATTTTCAAATATTTAAAATTAGTTTCTATTTTAAGATCTACACATGTGTTGAGTTGTTCTAATCTATTCAATTTAGATTTAGAAAGATTCTTTTTTTCTTTTTTTTTTTCTTTTACTTTTCTTTTTTTTTTTCAAAATTCTATTGTAACATGTAACTATTTTACTTATCATTATTATAGTTTTTATTTGATTAAGACCATAATTTTTGTTCAATTTATTATCAATATTATTGCTGTTTGTTGTTTTGGTACAATTATAGTACTATATTTTATTTTATTTCTGATTTTTTTTGTTCTAGATTTAATTTAATTATTTTGCTTATGTGGTGGTTTTTATTCTACTCAACTAATATTAAGGTTATAAAAATATATATATATATATATATATATATATTTTTTTAATAGTATATTTTTGTACCACTAAGAAAAATAAATATACAAACAATAAAGAAATAGATATTAGATAGAAAATAACTTTAAAAAACTATTATTATATTTAAAGAAACTTGAATCTTTTGAGCAAAGATCAATATATAATAAAGACATTGAAAAGACTAAGAATGGTCTTAGTCTTAGTCCTACTTCTATATTACAAAGATCATATAGAAACTTTCTAAAGATCTCAAGGCTTGTGTTCCAAACATCAAAGTTGTAAATTAGTTCTTTAATGGCTTTTTAAAAATAATTATTTATATTTGTATTTATTTGAGATATACAAACATTTATTACATCACCTATCCTAAATCCTCCTCTTTTTCTTTTATCCCTTTTAAGAATGATTTTTTAGAAGAAACAATGAATATATTTTATTCTCTGCTGAATCATAAAAACACATAACTGAAATTCTCTGCTGAATCGATGCCAGTTTTGATTGTAGCCAACACCTCATTCGACATCGGTCTCCGTCGACAATCGAGGTGGGTGCTTGGGATCTGACCACTTCATCGACCCGGTGGAAGAATCGGTGCGTCACTAGAATCGATCAAGTTCAACTCAACGTATCATTTCATCGTTGGTGTTTAGACTGGCGTTTCACAACACAACTAAAATTCTTATGACTCAGAAGATATAGAAATAGGTGGAGTTTTCTGTACTGAAGTGCTGACAATTTTACAGATGAAGCAGGCTACGAGAGGTATAAACTCACATAGCAGAGTTCACATGAACACATGGGTCCGTCGTCAAAGTCCATCGCGTGCTGCTCTCTACATGCTGCTCTAATCCGTATGCATATCAACACTAGGAGGTACGTTCTTCGCCCGATCCCAACCTTTATCAACATGCCGAAAGCAACTTCGATTCAACCCGCCGCCACTAGTTTCAAGGAAAACGCATGAAGCTCAGAATCTGCAACTGATGTTCGCTGGACGAATGTCAAGCAAGGAATCATGGCGGTGAACTCAAGTGACAATCTTCGGAGCCAGAGAGGGGATTTGGTAAGAAGCACCATACATTTCAAAGTAGTATGGATGTCTTTCAATCACAGCCCACTCGCTCGCACCATACCTCTTGAACATGCGGAACAGCTGCAAGATGGAGGTTTGATATTTGTGCCAGATCTTAGCGTTTGGTACGCACTGGGTTAATATGCCGCACTGATTCGCACGCAAGCAGTAGTCGACATCCTCGAAAGCAGCTTTCGGGAAGCTCTCGTCGAAGCCACCAACTTGAGAGATTAGCTTCTTGGAAATCCGGATCGAGATGTTGCATGAAGGGGCGTATAGCAGACCCTCTCCATTGATCTTGATTCTGCCGTTGAGGGTGCCGAAGTGGTCATGGAACTCGTCAACGAAGGTGTTGGTGTAGCCGAACGTGAGCCCGGACAAAATGGCACCGTCGGATGCTTCCGTCTTCTTCTTCAACTCGTAATAGTGTGCTGCCACCATAGCTTCCACCCAGCGGCTGTCTGCTTCACAATCTGAGTCGATGAAATTGACGATCTGCAGCATGTATCACGCATCAGTTAGTCTCCCGGTAGCTCTTCGAAATACACACCGAAGAATAACTGAAAATAACATACAACAAAGTTGAGAAATGCAAGCTGACACCCCCCCGCCCCCTTTTTTTTTTGGAACGTGTCGAGATTTCAGGGTGTGAGGACATGGTTAATTAAAAGAAATGTGCAGTTTTCATTTGGAAACTGAATTGCTGCTGTGAATCACCTGGGCCTTGTACTCAGATATGGCGAGGCCAAGGCCGAGAGTTCGCGCTGCCGCAGGGCCATGATTCTTCGGACGTTTGACGAGCCTGGTGTTCGCGGGAAGCTTCACAAGGTTCTCGTCACTTTGGCCGGTTACAGAGCTTCTGTACCAAGGAAAGGGTGAGCAATCGTCGACTAGAATCACCTGTGTTGCCTTGTAGGTTTGGTTGGCGAGACTGGATATCAGCTCCAGAACTTCCTTCCGTTGCTGAAGCGTTCTTACGAAAATGGGAGCCACTATTGCAACCGTCGGCCGAAATTCACTGTTGCACACGTTAGGGTCGCAACAACAGCTGTTAAAAAGAGAGTAGAATTTACATATGCAAGACCTAGACTAAAATTCTGCCGAACGCTGGTACCCAGTGGATCACTTATCCCAACGTAGCAACATTTGCAAAGGTGAACGCACTTTTTTCTTTTTCTGAGAACTGTTACATGCAGTAAAGCACTACAGCCATCTCAACCGCAATTTTATTCTTTTGACTGGGAATGTCAAACCTGTTTTACATATATACTTTGAGACACACAACACACAAACCTTGGCACTCCTCTCTGCAGATAGACAACTTGGAGTACAGATGTTAGAAAGGATGAGATCAGAGCTCATCAGGGAAGATCCTGCTTTTGATAGCAGAAACAAATCCTGCAAGAATCAAGGGGAAAACAAACGGTACCAGGCAACGTAAACTATGCAACTATGTCTTGTCAGTCAACCTGGCGTGCATGTTGAAGGCATAAAAGAAACGAGGCTGCTTTCCTGCGGCTAGAAGATTTTTTACCAGCAAACGACCCGGTAAGAAACATGCGGAACATAAAGACAACATTTGTACCTCGGGTTCTTATCTTAGTGGCACGAGTATTTAATGCATTCTCCACTTTCATACAAGGTCAAGAGAGAGTTCAACCTCAATTCCACATCTGCGCTCTCCATCCTGAGCTCCTGAAAGTCAGTGTCAGCCTCGTCGGTGGAGGCTTGTTGGCTTTCTGTATCTTCGGGTGAATCTTCAGAGGCTTCTTCGGCAACTCGTTGCTTGGAGGTCGAGAACGTCGGGATCGGCGGCGGCAGTGATGGAGCTCGAGTACGCTTCTCAGGATGCTCTCTCCCCAGGGCGAAGCCAGTGACGCACACAATTTTCAGGAAGCAGAAGACTAACTTGTAGAAGAACGAAAGCGTGCTGTCCCGCATCACTGTCTTTACCTCGTATGCGATGCTGATGCAGAGGTTCTGGAATTCGACGGTCCCCGTCATGGTGATCTTTCGTAACAAGGTATTTCCTAAAGATAACTCACAGCACTAACTCAATATTGCCTGGTCTGCTGACTTCAAGCCTTGAAGTTGGCTTTGAGGTTAGAGATTCGCTATGATCTGAATCTGTATGCTACAATTCCTAGAAGACAGTAGATGTGCTTCACAAAAGCGTAGAAGATTTTACGTTGTCTGCTCACAGACGAAAGGCGCACTCACATCCCACGAGAGTGCTGGTGCGTAAAGAAAAAAGGCACAGTGCGAAATTCTCAAAACTCGGATTGTGAAACAGTGCAGATGAAAGTCATGCGTTTGCAAGCATCAACAATGCATACAACTCAAACAGAACACACGTAGAAGAGAGAAGAATTGGCGCCTCACACTGGAAGATTCGTAAGACAGAAACGCAACACCTTTAGAAAAGATGATGAAAAGAAAGTCAATATTTCCCAGCTAAACCTCGGCTAAAAAATTAGTGCGCGCAAACCAAATCGAAACATATATATTTTTTCAACGCATCCGTTTAGTGCAGAAGAGCAGGCGAAACTGGCATGAAATAATTGAGCAATTCAATGTCCTATAGATCAAGGCCAGCGCCTTTCTTAACTGATCTAAAACTACTAAAATTTCCAATTACTTCGTGACTCTCTTGCTTTCTGCAATAGATTCCTGCGGCAGAAAGCTCTTGAAAAAATATCTAATTCTGTAAACTACAGCTAACCCCTCTCTCCTGCTCTAAAACCAACTTAACACACACAACAACGAAATCAGCTTCCTTCTACTGATCTTCAAGCAGATCTTTCAGCACAACGAAATCGAAATCCACAGAACAAAATTCAGCAGGCGTCCAGACCAAAACCAGCACCCCGAGCACAAGCTTTGCGCATCGAGCAGGGAAAGAGGTGGTGACTCTGGCTGGGTCTGTAAGAGAAACGAAGGAAGCGCCACAGATATACACTTCGGAGAAAGCCTGCGTGGAGACATATCACACAAGGGCAAGACCAGGGGGTGGGGGGTGGGGAGTGGAAGGAGGAGGGAATATACTAAGGGCGACGGGGGGCTTGGTCCCGAGCGTTCGTCACCCATAGATTCTTCGCCTAGTTCCTTTCTTTTCCAACGCCATGCAACGAGTGCTGAGAGCCGATCATGCCTGGAAGGTGGCCAGTCTGTCAGACTTTCTATTCAGACGCCCCCGCGAGGCTTTCAGGGCCTCCAAGGCTGTCAGGCGAACCTCGGTTCAGGATTAGTTTAGTCTACCACCTTCTCGGTGCGTAATTCGTTGCTAATTTCCACCCATAATCTCGTTCCTACGATTCACCGAATCCTCTGAAAAAAAACACTTCCTACCCAACTGTTAAAAAAATCTCCGTGGTCTGCAGTTTCTGAGCCGGTTTGTATCCAGCGCTTGTCCCTCATCCAGGGGTCTACTTGGTTCCCTCGGTCCATATCCAACCTCGAATCGATGGATGGAGAGAAACCACACCCTTCATCGCAACCCAGTAATGGCTCGTCCGCTTTGGAGCTGTCCTTGCGATTACCCAAATGACCCAGTCGCCCTGGTGCGTCGAAATGTGAAGCCGCTGCCAACTTTTTCCTGCTCTTTTACTTATTACGTCTACGTGGTTGGAACTTTAGAGTTCGTCCATCAATGTGGCTCTCGTCAACCGGATTCTTCCTCCTCCTCCTGATCCCGCTCCCCCGCTTCTTCTTCTTCTTCCTCTGCTGCCGCTCCTGCCGCTGCAGCAATGGCCGGCCAAGCTGCCGGCCCCCCGTTGAACGAGTCTGAGCAGGACACGGATGGATCTCATGGTGGTTATTCGTGTGAGCTGCTTTCTTGATGGCCACCACCGCCCAGGCCGGTTGCTCGGTCCTTCCTCTCCTTCAACCTCTCCCTCTCTCCCTCTGGGACTGTCCGGTGATGTGCGTTCACGGATGCCAGGCGGCAAATGGGCGGTGCTGCAGTTCAGCTCCGCCCTCAGCTGTACCTGCGATCTGCAGTGACCTCTCAGAAACCCATTCCGTGCGTTAGCGGCGCATTAGTCTCAGCGGCTATGTCAGCTTATCAGGAATCTCAACCTGATAACCGTGAAGGGTAAGCCTTTGAGAGCATTGAGGTTTGCCGCTTCGGGCCCTACCGCAGCGGTATGTTGCATGGGAAACGAGCAGCTCAGCCTCTGATTGCAGCTTCTTTCATCATGAATATTATTATTAAAATTGTTGTTGTTGTTATGATCATTATTCTTGTGTTGTCGGGAGATCTCAGAGCGACTTAGTCGCTCTGAAGCAATTTCCACCCATTATGCTCTTGCTCGTGTGAAGGGGGACCCGTTCAGTTTGTACTGCAGACCCAAATGGCTCACGGCACGCACCTGATTGGGCCACATTGTGGGGACCTAATCTCACGCCAGCGTGGCATAAGATGCTTTGGGAGCCAGGTCATACTTGGATGATAAACAATTGGGGTGAATGTTCCGTTTTATTTTTAAATGATGGTGCAGTTGGGTGCGTTGTTTTAATACGACCCACAGCAAACTGTTTTGGTTGTGTATGTATAAATGTGTGTGTGCATGTGAATGAATTTTGGAATATATATATATATATATATATATTCACACACACACACACACTTACAAAGAGAATTGTTAAATTGAATCATGCATTTACTAAATTCATTCACATGTACACACACATTTAAATGAATTTAGTAAATGACGGGGTCAATTTAATAATTTTCTATATATATATATATATATATATATATATATATGTACAAGCAAGTAATTTTACATTCATTTATTTTTAAAATTTTAAAGCATGATTCTTGCAACAAATAATGGAAAAAGATTGATCTATACAAATGTGAAGTTTTGCTCTAAAGTTGTTGAAAAAAATAGATCATGAATATCTATATATATATGTATATATGATTTAGGTATTTAATGTAATTTAATGTCATTTTTGAGGTATGTGTATAATAATATTAATATTAGAAGAAAAAAATAATTGAAATTAAAATAAAGAAGAAACATATATATATATATGGATATATATAGATATATAGATATATTTAGATATATAGATATATATATATATATATATATATATATATATATCAAATTTAAAAATTGAAATAAATAGGTGGAATAGCACAACACTTGAAATTCAATACAAAGAATCTATTTGAATTATTTTTTGATTATTTTAAAATAAATTATAAATATAAAAATACAATATCGTTTTAATTTTAAAAAGAACTGAATATCTATATCTATATCTATATATATATGCATATAAATTAAATTTGGTATAGCTATGTAACTACAAATGAAGCATTATTTTATTTACAGTGATTTTAAATTGCTAAAGGATGGAAAGTTGGTATTGAGCACCTGATTGTTTAAATTTCAACCACAGAATTTTAATTTATATATATATATATATATATATATATATATATATAAATATATATTTAAATGCATTATTTTAAATTATGCATCTATATAAAATATATCCATCATGTAATATATATATATATATATATATATATATATATATAGATTATTAATTTAGGATATATAAAATATTCTATATATAAAATTATATTTTCTAAGAAAGTATATAATTTAATTTATTAATTTTTTGGTAAATTTATTCTTTTGCATATTATATTAAATTATATTAGAATATAAAAAATCAAAACATACTAGATAATTCTAAAAAAATAAGTCTTATAAAATTATCTAGTATATTTTATTAAAATCCATATTTCTTTTAAGATTAGAAATAAAAAATAATACTTCCAAAAAAAATATTAATTAATATTTTCAATAACTTTAATGTTTGATAAACTTGAATGTATAAGATGATTTTTATGAATTTAAATCCTTTAATATTGACTTATTCTAAATGTTGCATAGCAAAATTAATATTTTAAGTTATAAATTAGAATCTTTTTTTAATATATTATACATAGTTTATTCAAATTCTTTGATTTAGAATACTACTTATGATATGAATTTAGTATCTAAACAAAATCAATTAGTATCACAAATATATATAAGTACACAAATAAAGAGTGTCAAATAGAAAGTAAATAAAGGTAGATTTGATAATATCTTATACTAAAGCTTGTAGAATCTTCATAGACACAGATTTGATGTTTAATGTATTTGTAGTTAATTGATAGGTTAAAAATTTGGCTAACAAATTGGGCACATATCACACATGTAGAAATTTTATCTTGCAAGTTGGACATGTGTTGAAGGCCCTATAAAATATTGTCACATAACTTGTAGTTAGGTAGTATATATCGATGTAAGAAAGAAGCACTTTTTATTTTTATCAAAGCCTTTTTTTTTTATTACTTGTCTTATTTCAAGAGTCTCTAATCTTCTTGTTTTTGGAAATGGCTATTCTAATTCTATTACTATATTATCTTTAAAGGAACATCTACTCTTATAAAGTAATACAAGAGTGGATTGAGGTTTTAACTATTTGTAATTCATATCCTTTGCAATTTGGCAAGAGTCCTAATTCACTATTCTTGTTTTGTTTTAGAAGTAAGTATATTACTCTACTTCTTTTGTTGTGCTTTAAAGGTTGCAGATTACTCACTTTTGAATTAATATTTTTTTTTCTTCTAATATTGATTCTTTTCTTAAAAAAATAAATTATTCTTTTATATAAATTTTTATTTAATTTCAAAGTTAGTAGATTATCTTACTCTAATTTGACTTGTGAATTTGTTAAAGTCATTTGTTATAGAGATATAAGGAAAATTTATTGATACTACATTTTGTAGAAGTGAGAATAGATTTGCAACTATTATAAATCTTCATAAAGTTATAAACATTTTTAAGGTAGATTTTTCACATATAACCAACATCAACTATGGAAGTGCTATTCCTATATTAATGGGAGAAATTAATAATGAAGTTCAAAGTCTATGCTAATAAATTGTATAGTTGAAAGAAGCAAGTAGAGTAACTTCACACTTAAATCTAAGAAGTCTTTCTACTAAAAGTATAAGAAAAGTAAGGATAAGTATATCAAAGAAGTTTGATAGAACAAGATCAAAATTGTGCAGGATATTTACAACGACTGAAGCTATATCCAAAATTGGTATCTTTCTTAATTTCTTGATGGATTTACTCAAATTGGATTAATAAGTGTACTTCTATCTATAAGTGTTCACTCTTAGTTTGCACCTTTGATAGACACAGATTCTCAATTTTTTTATAAATTTAAATTTATTTTAAACCAGTCCATTATAGCTATATTTTAAAAAAATAGAACATAATAATACTAGAGATCAAATTCTTATCTTCATAACATGTATTCATGTTTATCTACTATATGTATTATTAAATTTAAAAACCTTGCTTATAACATGGATTGGAATGACAAAACCTTTATCAATTAATTTTAATATAAATTATAAGATAATACTAAAGATCCATTATTAATAATTCTAAAAATAAATTCATTAGAATAATTTATTACTTATGCCATTGTATGCAATAATTGACTTTTTAAAAGATGCTAAAAACAAAGATTTGGTTTGAGAGATATAAGTCAAGTCATAACAAGAAATCCCAAGTTTTCAAAAACTTATTCATTAAGGTTGGAACTAATGCAAATTCATACAATATATTTCAAATTTCTATACAATATTATTCAAAGTAGCAACACAATTACAAAATGAAGAGTGCAGTTGTTAAAAAAGACAATATATCAAAGAACAAGTTTGTCTAGTCATAATAAAGACTATGCACTTTGAATCTTATGCAACACCTAATAAAGATCTTATTCTTTTTTCAAATTCCTTACCTTGTTTTATAATAGATATTTATTTAGGACCAAAAAATTACAAAGTCTTTGCTTTGATAAATTTTAGAACCTCAACTATTATATAATCAAAAACTTTTTCAAAAACAAGAAATATTCTTAGACAAAAAAAACTAAATCTCTATATGTAAAAATCATAGAAGGTTATTTATTGCCTTCTAAAGATGTTATTCATAAAAT